TCAAAATCTGGACTCTCTGATCAGTGTTGGACATTGTTGTTGTTTAGTCGTTTAGTCGTGTCCGACTCTTCATGACCCCCTGGACCAGAGCACGCCAGGCACTCCTGTCTTCCACTGCCTCCCACAGTTTGGTCAAACTCATGCTGGTAGCTTCAAGAACACTGTCCAACCATCTCGTCCTCTGTCGTCTGCTTCTCCTTGTGCCCTCCATCTTTCCCAACATCAGGGTCTTTTCCAGGGAGTCTTCTCTTCTCATGAGGTGGCCAAATTATTGGAGCCTCAGCTTCAGGATCTGTCCTTCCAGTGAGCACTCAGGGCTGATTTCCTTCAGAATGTTGGTAGCCAGTCATTGGAAAGGAAATTATATCCCAACAAAAGGGGAATGGTTAATTAAACTATGTGACTACCTGGAGTTATCAAAATTGACGGATTTAATAAGGCATAAACCCCAAACTATAATACAGAAACAATGGGAATGCTTAAATGAATATTTAAACAAGCAGGGCTCAAATATGAAAGTTTGGTTGTGCTTAGACTAACCTTGTGGAGAATATAGAGAACATAAAGATTTGATGGATTATGAAAGAACCTAAGGAAGGGAAATGATTGAAGAACAGATGTAAAGGCGAGCAAGACAACTAAGAGACGTGTGGTGAATGTGGCGAAAGACTTTTATAATGTTTTAACTATGATTTATACATTTGTTTGAAGCATGTTTGAAGCATGAATTTGGTAATATTGGTTATGAAAAGTATTTTTCCTTTTCTTTTGTCTTTTTTTTTAGTCTGCATTTTGGAAAACATGTACATAAATGTGTTTACGGTGTTATGTATTGTTCTTTGTTTCTTTTTCTTTTCTTGAAAAGTTTTTAAAATAAAAATAAAATTAAGACTTTTCAGCTGCTGTTAGATCTGCATTCGGACAAGGAGGAAGGACAATGTTGGGCTCAGACCGAAGCGACGGGCGAATGCGAAACAAAAACAGAACCATCTCCTCTCAACAAGCAATATTCCAAGCACAATAGCTCCACAGTGTGGGCGGAAGTGGGAGAAACTACAAATTGTGATTCACTGCAAGGGTTGGGCTCGTTAACCATTTTTAAATTATGACTTTTATTCTTGCCGAGAAGAAAGAGAGCATGGTTTCTGTTACAGGTGTTTGAAGCCCACCTCCGAATCACTGGAAATGCAGAGAGGAGTTTCCTGTTGCTTTGCAAACAGCGCTGTATATATTGGACAAACAGGCCAAACCCTACTATGCCAAAGGATAAATGGACACAAATTTGACATCAAGAATCACAAGACAGAGAAACCAGTAGGAGACACCATACCCATGGAGTCAATCATGTCCCAGGACATTCAATACAGGATTTCAAAGCAGCTGCCTTATTACAAAAGAATTTCAGGAACAGACTTGAAAGAGAAGTTACTGAATTACAACTTATCACTAAACTGAAAACTATGGAGAGACCTGGTCTGAATAGAGATATTAGATTCTTGTCTCATTACATATGTGAAAGCAGGGGTCAACAAACTTTTTCAGCAATGGGCCGGTCCACTGTCCCTCAGACCTGAAGGGGGGGGGGGGAATGAACGAATTCTTATGCCCCACAAATAACCCAGAGATGCATTTTAAATAAAAGGACACATTCTACTCATGTAAAAACAGGCTGTCTGTGGGCTGGATTTAGAAGGCGATTGGGCCAGATCTGGCCCCCAAGCCTTAGTTTGCCTAAAGTAAAGGGTTTTTAAAACCATTTTTAAAACCATTAGGTCCAGTTGAGGCCAACTCTGGGGTTGCGGCGCTCATCTCGCTTTATTGGCTGAGGGAGTCGGCGTACAGCTTCCGGGTCATGTGGCCAGCAGGACTAAGCCGCTTCTGGTGAACCAGAGCAGCGCACGGAAACGCCGTTTACCTTCCCACCAGAGCGGTACCTATTTATCTACTTGCACTTTGATGTGCTTTCGAACTGCTAGGTTGGCAGGAGCAGGGACTGAGCAACGGGAGCTCACCCCGTCGCGGGGATTCGAACCACCGACCTTCTGATTGGCAAGTCCTAGGCTCTGTGGTTTAACCCACAGCACCACCCATGTCCCTTAGTTTGCCTACCCATGTGCTAAAGCTACTTTTGGTCATCTGCCTACTATCCCTTCCTTTTTCCTGTAGGACTAATTGCAGTCTTTAACACTCGTCAACAGGTTTACCATACCCATTGAGTCAATCACCCATCTCCTACTACCGTCCTGAGAAAAAACCCACCCCACCCTCCCACTATATATATAAAAGGGTCTGGTGACTTCTGTTTCAGTGTATCTGAAGAAGTGTGCATGCACACGAAAGCTTATACCCAGAACAAACTTGGTTGGTCTCTAAGGTGCTACTGGACATTTTTTATTTTTTTATTTCGACTGTGTCAGACCAACACAGCTATCTACATGAACCTCCTGCTGTAAAGTTGAGGGGGTGATTTTAGCTCAGCCCTATTCACACATCCATCTCGAAACACCCTTCTCGTGTGCGTGTGAAAATGATGTGCAAATGCAACACTTTGGAGAAAGCATGGAGGGAAAGAAAGAAAGAAAGAAAGAAAGAAAGAAGAAAGAAAGAAAATAAAACTCAAAGTCAAGTAATTTATTGATAAGACTCAGCCATTTTTTGGCTTTTAATTGCAAATCTCATACAGCCAGTCAATTTCAACATTTTCTAAAATTGCGACTTCTCAATAATACATTTCCTCAGTTTGCATTCATACACGTCACGGGGCATTTATTGGATAAAGTGCGAGTGATAAGACTTCATAAAGGTACAAAAAACAACTGATGGAACCAGCAGGCCTTAAATCAGAAACATCACCTATGGATCACACGCCCAATGCCGATTGTCAATTCCCTCTCTGAAAACAATCTCAGTTTTACTAAGAAACAGCAACTTCCAAGTACCAAAAGCCCAAGTCTATGTCCCTAAAGAATGGGCGGAAACAGCGAAGGAAGTTTTGGCTAGAATAATAAACATTTGAGCTGTTCTTTTTATTTAAAAACAAACAAACCCCAAAGTAAACATCTGAAGGTATTTTTGGTCCCGATAAACAGATTAAATTGAAAGCCCTATTGATGTTATGGCTTATTTCTTGTGGGTAATATTCCCATCACACACACAAACACACCACCCTGAAATGCACAAGTTGGAATTAAATCTGTGGCTGAACTCTCCAAATGGAATTCCCTCCCATTTCAATGCAGAAACACATTTTGCTAATGCTCTCCAAAATGATCACCTTTTAAAAAAAATCAAAATCAAACCTTCCTTGCATATAGAAATCTAGCACACAGAACACCAGGGAGATAGCGACTTTCTTGCTCATGAGGCTAGTTTTCTACAAGCAGGGAGTGTCTCTTATATGGGAAATACATGACAGATGTGATCCCTCTACTGCCCTGGTTTTGCTGCATGTATAATGCCATCTAAAAACAGCAGGCACCTTCCATATGGTTGCAGTATGCGAGAGCAAGGGTGCATAGGAACATGGTAAGGTCTATCTAGATCAGTATTGTCAACACTGACTTGGCAGCTGCTCTCCAGGGCTTCAGGCAGGGATATTTCTCGGCCCTGCCTGGGAACAGAACCCGAGACCTTCCGCATGCAGAGAAGATGCTCTAACCACTGAGCCATACCACCGCTTGCTATGGTAACTGTAAATGGTAATGGAAGTTCAACGCTTGTTGGAAGTCACGTGCAAGTCACCCAAGTCACTGGGTGTCTCGGCACCTTGTAGTAGCGACTTACGTAGTTCCAACTATGCATTGTGTGAAATACCGTATTTTTCGCCCCATAGGGTGCACCGGCCCATAGGGCGCATCTGGGTTTTTTTTGGGGGGGGCGGGGAATAAAGATAAAAAAATTATTTCCCCCCCAGGCAGGGGAAGCCCGAGCCCCAGGCTTCGGGGTGCAGGCAGCTCTCCGCAAGCCTTGGGAGACCAGCACGACTTCCCGCCAGGCTCCCATTGCTTGCGGAGAGAGGCCTGAAGCCCGGGGCGCGCTCTGCTGCGGGCTCCCAAGGCTTGCGGATAGCTTCCTGAAGCCTAGAGAGCAAGAGGGGTCGGTGCGCACCCCTTTCAGCGAAAGCCTGCATTCGCCCCATAGGACGGACACACATTTCCCCTTCATTTTTGGAGGGGGAAAAGTGCGTCCTATAGGGCGAAAAATACGGTACTTTCTTTTGACTGGCCTGAATCTCTTTACATCCATCTTCATCGAATTGTCCCCAAGTTAAAAGAGAGGAAGAAAAACTTCGCCCCATCCACTTTCTCCAGACTGTGCATTTTATACGAAAACTTTCCACTCCTCTCCCACACAGAGACATTTCAACAGATCTTGCATATCCAGACCATTGTATATTCCCTTTATGAGACCCACCTTTGCATTTTTTGCTCAGAATTTTCCAGGAAATGGCGATGCTTATGTAGCCGCGCAGCTGAAATCCTGAACCAATCCTGCAACCTCTGGCAATCACGGAATCCCTGGCCAAATATTCGCCTCTCATTTTGTGCAATTGCATTCTGGGTTTTTGCTAGTCAATGGGTGCGACGGACATGAGCCACTAAAAGCTCCACCGTTCTGCTACAGGAAATATGGCATTCTGAGATTTCAGTTGGCTTCACCCACACGTTGGCACCCATGAGGTCTAGAACCTTGATCTCTTTAGGAGAAATCTAAATCAGAGGCGCAGCGATGTCTGACGTCAGTACGACGCTTTCCAGACTTTTATCGGCCTGCCACAAAATCACAGCACAGATGCAAGTCCTGGGCAGAGAATTTGCCTGCCCCAACTTGTGCACGGAGGGAGCATCGAAGCAACAAATTCCTGGTGTTTCTTCCTGAGCATCCTTCAAGTGAGGCCTCGTCTCCTCCCTGCTTTTTCCCGCCTTTGGGGACAGCACCCTCAGGGATATGGGAATTAAGAAATGAGCCCTTCGCCCAGGTTGGCAATATGTGGTTTTCCCCCCCAGGCTGGGTACAAAGCCCACCCCCAGCCACGCATGTGCGCATGAGAGACAGATTTCTCTGTGTAAACATACAGCCCCGAGTGGGACTCCTTTATACTGCCCAGAGCTGGCAGTAAAATTATGCCCGGGATTTGTATTTGAAAACACTTTCCCCCCCACTTCTTGAAAAGGCACCGTTGTATAAAAATCAAAACGAAACAAAACAAAACCGAACACGCTGGTCCCCTTTTAAAAGTGAAGGCATGCACAGTACATGATGCAGGTACGGATATAGATAAACGTATATGCTGCATATTGCGAGATCGGATGTACAGATGGCACGAAGGGAACCGTTCTTCTTTTAGATGTTAGTCAGGACGTTGCTGGTGAGCAACTGCACCTTGAGGGTCCCCGGAAGCTCGTTGACGCGTTTGCTGCCTTTGTCCTCCAGGTGGAGGATGTGCATCGACAGGAGGTTGTTGGGGTCACCTGCAAGGCTCACCTGGCCCAGAAAGGTGTCGCTGATAAGGTTATGGTCCCAGACCTGGAGGGAGAGAAGCAGATGTTGGTGGACCATCGGAGAAGGAACGCACCCACAGACCAGGGCTGTGTGCATCCATGGTGGACCTAGCAGACCTCGACCAACGACCTCAAAATCTAAAAAACTAAGCATCTAGCCCTCATGATTGAAGAGAAAAGCTGCACATGGTTAAAGGTAAAGGGACCCCTGACCATTAGATCCAGTCGTGGCCGACTCTGGGGTTGCGGTGCTCATCTCGCTTTATTGGCCGAGGGAGCTGGCATACAGCTTCTGGGTCATGTGGCCAGCATGACTAAGCCGCTTCTGGCGAACCAGAGCAGCGCACGAAAACGCCGTTTACCTTCCCGCCAGAGTGGGACCTATTTATCTACTTGCACTTTGACATGCTTTCGAACTGCTAGGTTAGCAGGAGCACGGACCGAGCAACGGGAGCTCACCCCGTCGCGGAGATTCGAACCACCGATCTTCTGATCGGCAAGCCCTAGGCTCTGTGGTTTAACCCACAGCGCCACCCGTGTCCCTGCACATGGTTAGGCTGCGATAAAAAGAACAGCCTTCTTAGCCCGCAGCGGAAGCTGAAAGAACTACGGTAGCCTAGGAAAGCAATGTTTTCGAGAAGGAAGAGGGTGGGGAGAGTGATGAAAATTAAAGGTTTAGGAATCTGGATTCATTCCGTGGCTCATCGCCACTTCTGTGGAATCGTGCCACAGATGAACAGCCTTGGCTGCAGCTTCACGTGGACGTGCCTGCTATAGTACTATGATCCTTTGATAAAGGAAACATCACCTGAATGACAATGGGCTGCCCTGGCTTCTTCCGGTAGAACAGGCCTTTCACATCAAACTCTGGCGTCACAGTGCTTTTCACCACTGGTGAACGGATCTTCTCGCCTTCACATTTAATGATCACGTAGGGGTCCGCGCCTGAATTAAAATAACAACATAGGTTGCTGAAGCCCCGAGGCCGGTCCATCAGCAGCCCAAAGCTCCCCTTCTAGCTGTCAATGTTTCCCTTTTTTCGAGGGAAATTCCCTTATTCTGAATAGGATTCCTCGCAAGAAAAGGGAAAAGTTGACAGCTGTGCCCCCTCTCCTCGTCCTCCCCCTGCAGATTTTGGGCGTGTTGCGTGGGCATGGTTGGAAATGGGGGTGGGATCGGGGCCCTGCACCTTCTTGCGAATCCTGGTTCTTCAGCCCGGAAGCCGAGACGACGTGGACTTGCGACACCATCTGTGGGTAGCCACACATTCCGCTCCAACAGGTGTGCGGGGGCTCATCCAGGGTCAGCTCCCTACAGGGTGGATAAAAATCAATGATTTTTTAGAAAGAAAAATCAATAAAAATCGATTTTTTAAAAAATTAAATCAGATTTTTAAAATTTAAATCGGATTTTTAAAATAAAATGCTTTTGGAGGGAAAATTCTTTCTAAAGATAGTTTTCTATTTAAGTTACATTATAGGCTATTCATCAGGAAATAAGGGTTTGTTTAAAGTTTTTCATGTGTGCCAAAATTCAGTCTAAGTATTCTTTTTGGAAAAAAATGTTTAACCACATCAGTTAACAAACATGGATACATATGCTATAATGTTATTGTTTTAGTTAAATAAACTGTTTAAATTGTTATTGAGGAAATGATTCTTTTTCTCCTTGAAACCAAGCACAGCAGAAAAGTTGTCCAAATAGAAGCAACAATTTCATAATTGCCTGTCTTTGTGTTTCTAACAGTATAACCAAATCAGTAATTTCCGGTAAGACCCTAAAAACTACTCTGAAAATGCATTATTCCAAAAACGAAAACTTTCATCTGGTTGTAAATATTAAGATTATACCAGGAGGAACGGGTCTTTCTATATATATAAAAAATGATTTAAATCAAGTCTTACTGACTAGGGATTTAAATCAAGTCTGAAAATTTATTATTCCAAAAACGAAACCTTCATCTGGTTGTAAATATTAAGATTATTAAAAAAAATATGATTTAAATCAAGCCTGAAAATTTATTATTCCAAAAACGAAACCTTCATCTGGTTGTAAATATTAAGATGATAAAAAAGAATGATTTAAATCAAGTCTGAAAATTTATTATTCCAAAAACAAAACCTTCATCTGGTTGTAAATATTAAGATTATAAAAAAAGAAGAAGATTTAAATCAAGTCTTACTGACTAGTGATTTAAATCGATTTGATTTAAATCCACTTTCTGTAAAAATAATAATAATTAAATCAAGTCTTACTGACTGGTGATTTAAATCAAGTCTTACTGACTAGTGATTTAAATCGTGATTTAAATCGATTTGATTTAAATCAATTCCACCCTGGTTCCCTGCAAAGAGGAAGGAGGGGGAAGACACCTGACAGATGTCAGTGACTTTGCCCCAGAACTCCAAGCATCCTCTATTATCAGAGTCCCACTAAGCGCTGGGTGGGCAGGCGGAAAGGTGCAAATATGGTCCCAGCCAGGATCAAAAGGCTACAGGAAGCCTCCGCTCCATGGAGAGCAGCTTACTGGCAATCGGAAGGCACATCTGTGAACACCCTGAGGAGGAACTCTCCCACGTGGCCGGCCTCGAAGGTGGTGGGGATGATGACGTAGCGCCCTTCCTTCAGGTCCGTCCTCAGGAAGACGATGCGGGAATTGATGTAGATGGAGCTGGCGACCTTGGGCTGCAGGGTGTGCATCCGGTAAGTCCGATTCAGCTCCACCTGGGCAGAATAAAGCACAAGAAAGAAGAGAAGAAGAAAAAGGGAGAGTGAAACTACGGAACTCACTGCCACATGAGGCAACCCAGGCGGCTTTAAAAGAGGACCTTATCTACCAATCAGCAGATAAGGTTAAAGAAGAATGGGAATGTTATAAAAATTATTTGACAAAATTTGGTCCCAGTAATAACGCTTGGCTGTGTGTAGTGTCTAGATAGAAGAATAATTTCATACCCCATGGTGGGGACAAATAATTAAACATAGATTAAAAACAGTAATACTGTAGTAGAATTGAAACCACAAAGAGTAGACGGAAGTCAACAAATCTGAATATATTGAACACTGCTTACTGTTGATCGATCGATATTTTTTATTTTTTAATAGTTTTTCGGTTTTGCTGTTTCTTTTTCTTTTTTCCTTTCCTTTCCTCTCTCTCCTATCTTTTGTCGTTTATTCTTTGTGACGTTATTATATTTACCTATTTATATTTATCTGCGCTGAAACAAATGGAGCGGAATAGCAGAAGATAGTAAGAATAACAATGCAGTTTCTGCAGCAGAACCGCAGGAGAGTAGAAACAGTGCTGCGGGCAACGGACGTGGAGCAGAATAGAAAGCAATGCCTCCATGTGTCTCTAACGGTGAGAAGCAAGGATCAGAAACAGGCCAGCAGTTCACACAAACACACACTGCTGACCTTATAGATGTCGAATCCGATCGCCAAATTCTCTCCCTTTCCCTCCTTCCGATTGGTCTGTTTGGGCTTCTGTTGGATGCAAATGAGCACTTCGTCTTCTGTTTTCTTCACGTCAAAAACGTACTGGGCAGGAAAAGGAAAGCAATGGAAAATGAGACGGGTTTAATTGGGGGGGGGCACTTGGTTGGCAACCTCCAAGCCAGGGTCTCTAGCGCCCTCCGTTCTCTGGTGGGCTTTCTTGGCTAAGAGGCTGAGCTACAAATCTGGGAATTCCCGGTTCGACGGAGGTTTAAGGCCATTTCCCCGTCTCTACCCGGCCTGAGCTCCGGAAAAGGGTTGTAGCTCAGTGGCAGGGCAGTCGCTTGGCATGCAGAAGGTGCCAGGTTCAATCCCTGGGATCTCTAGGCATGGCTGGCATAGATCTCCGGCCTGAAAGCCTGGAGAGAGCTGCTGCCAGCCTGTGCGGGTATCATATTTTTCGCTCTATAGGACGCACGTTTTCCCCTCCAAAAATTAAGGGGAAATGTGTGTGCGTCCTATAGAGCGAATGCAGGCTGCGCGGCTAAGCCCAAAGCCAGAACAGGGAGACGGAGCGCTGTGCAGCGCTCCGTCTCCCTGTTCTAGCTTGGGGATGGCTGCGCGGAAAGCCTCTGCAGGGCAGCGGGGTGCTGCGCTCCAAAGGCTTCAGGGATCTTTGAGGCTGGGGGGGGGGAGCAGTGCTTCCCCCCACCGCCAGTCCCACAAGCTCGGGTGAATGCACCTTGAATGCACCTCTGTTCTCCCCCTCCTATGGTCCGGTGCGTCCTATCGAGCGAAAAATACGGTAACTCGGTTTTTTTAAAAAAAAGATTTTTATTAAAGTTTCAAAGATTATATAAAACAAAACAATAAAACAAACAAACAAAAACAAGTATAATATCAATCCCTTATTTTCTTGTAACTTACTTCCCCAACTTCCTCGTACCTCCCCTTTCTGTATTCTAATTTCCAGTTGTTAATTCAGCAAATCCTCTCCCTTATTTTCCGTTTAAATTTTTAACCTTTCATTTCTATACATAACCATTACCGCTGGAAACCACATATTTTCTAAGCCAACGTCATTCTAACCTTCATTAATTTTGCAATGTTTCTTAAGATAGTCCTTAAATTTCTTCCAATCTTCTTCCGCTGTCTCTCTTCCCTGGTCTCGGATTCTGCCGGTCATTTCTGCCAGTCCCATATAGTCTATCACCTTCATCTGCCATTCTTCCGAAAAATACGGTAACTCTGAGCTAGATGTGCCAATTCTGTATAAGCCAATGGTCTGATTCCTATGTTCTCATGTTCCTTGCTTAACTGGGCCCAGACTCTCAGTCCCAAGCATAGGCAAATTTGGCCTGCCAGATGTTTTGGGATTACAACTCCCTTCATCCCTAGCTAACAGGACCAGCGGGCAGGGATGATGGGAACTGTAGTCCCAAAACAGCTGGAGGGCCGAGTTTGCCTATGCCTGCCTTGTACTTTCTAATAAGCTGTTAGAAGATTCCTGTTTCTCTCCCAGATTTGCAATTCCTAGGGTAGTTTCACAGCCAATCCGCCCTTCCAAAGGGACTCTGGGAACTGTAGCTCTGCGTTGGGAATAGGGGATTTCCAAACTACTCTCAGCACCCTTCAATCAATCAATCACTTTATTACGGTCATAGACCAGCGGTTTAAAAATAGCTAAAATACAAAATTATAAAAGCAAGATACAATCAATATAAAAGCAAGCCAGCATTAGAGCAGGGAGACCAGAATTGGTGACCAGCAGGTTGAAACAACTAGAATTATAAAATAAAATAAAAATATAGAATACTACATAATAATATACCCATGTGACTTCCCTCTCCCACTACCCATCATCTCTTAGTCTTAGAGTTCTTGTTTACATTGCATCTTATATAGCTCATCCTTCATGTTCTTAATATGGTTAATTTTTTGCAGGTTTTCCTCTACAAACTTAATCTATACAGATTGAGGTTGAATCCTGACAAGACAGAAGTACTGTTCTTGGGGGACAGGAGGTGGGCTGGTGTGGAGGACTCCCTGGTCCTGAATGGGGTAACTGTGCCCCTGAAGGACCAGGTGCGCAGCCTGGGAGTCATTTTGGACTCACAGCTGTCCATGGAGGCGCAGGTCAATTCTGTGTCCAGGGCAGCTGTTTACCAGCTCCATCTGGTACGCAGGATGAGACCCTCCCTGTCCGCAGACTGTCTTGCCAGAGTGGTGCATGCTCTGGTTATCTCTCGCTTGGACTACTGCAATGCGATCTACGTGGGGCTACCTTTGAAGGTGACCCGGAAACTACAACTAATCCAGAATGCGGCAGCTAGACTGGTGATTGGGAGCGGCCGCTGAGACCATATAACACCAGTCTTGAAAGACCTACATTGGCTCCCAGTACGTTTACAAGCACAATTCAAAGTGTTGGTGCTGACCTTGAAAGCCCTAAACGGCCTCGGTCCAGTATACCTGAAGGAGCGTCTCCACCCCCATCATTCAGCCCGGACACTGAGGTCCAGCGCCGAGGGCCTTCTGGCGGTTCCCTCGCTACGAGAAGCCAAGTTACAGGGAACCAGGCAGAAGACCTTTTCAGTAGTGGCACCCGCCCTGTGGAACGCCCTCCCATCAGATGTCAAAGAGAACAACAACTACCAGACTTTTAGAAGACATCTGAAGGTAGCCCTGTTTAGGGAAGCTTTTAATGTTTAATAGGTTATTGTATTTTAGTGTTTTGTTGGAAGCTGCCCAGAGTGGCTGGGGAAACCCAGCCAGATGGGCGGGGTATAAATAATAAATTATTATTATTATTATTATTATTATTATTATTATTATTATTATTATTATTATATTACATACCAATGTGAGCTGCGGAGAAACCTGCCGCCTTCTTTGCCCTTTGCAACCTGTTCAGTGCCAGCTTTCCCAGGTTTTTGAGTTCAGAGGCAGACAGCAGAAGGTGGTCTCAGTGGCAGAGACACGCATTGCCCCCTTGGGAACACCTTGTTCCCCCCCTCACCTGCCTCTCGCTGCTGGCTCACCTGTGGGTTCTGCAGGAAGGTGTCCCTGTTGTTGACGCAGCCCCCGCAGCGGTTCTTCAAGGGGTCTTCGTGCTTGGTCCAGGCCCCCCGCAAGACCACCTCCTCCCAGGTCTTATGGATGCTCAGGTACGACGTGTTGATGAGGCGGCACTTGATGATGTCGGTGAAGTACCTGCAGAAGTCTTCAAACGTCATCCTGCGGTGGGGAAGAGTTCGAATCTCGACTCAGGACCGCAATACCTCAAGCACAGCCTCTTTCCATAGGAACCTACCCAGACCCTGACATCATCTTCTGAGGCCCTCCTTCGTGTGCCTCCTTCTCGAGAGGTCCAGAGGGGCATGTGAGAACAGGGCCTTCTCTGCAGTGGCTCCCCGTCTGTGGAATTCTCTCCCCAGGGAGGTTCACCTGTTGCCTCCATTATACGCCTTTAGGCACCAGGCAAAAACGTTCCTTTTAAACCAGGCCTTTGGTTGATGTGATTGACATCCTATGCCCTTCCAAAATTTGGGTGTTGTTGTGTTTTTTTTGAGGGGGGGTTATTGGGTTGTTGTTTTTATTTTCATTGGGTATTTTGTGGTTTTATATCTTGATTTTATTCCGTGAACCACCCTGAGACCCCCGGGTATAGGGTGGTATATAAATTCAATCAATAATAAGTAAGTAAAGAGTTCGAATCTCGACTCAAAGCCTGGCCAGGTTGAACGGGCCTTGTATCCCTTTCTTTTGATGTGGCACCACCTTTAAGATACTTCAGCTAGCTGAATCTGACCCAGAAACGCTATCTGAGGATGATTGCTATAGCAGGAGACTCTTCATCCCGAGGTCGTGGGTTCGAGCCCCAGGATGGGCAAAAGATTCCTGCATTGCAGGGGGTTGGACTAAATGACCCTCGTAGTTCCCTCCAACTCTACAATTGTACGATTTTGTGACCTGCGAAGTGGCTATCGATGGCTAGAAGCCACAATGGCTCTGCTTTACTTCCACAGCTGGAGCAATGCTTCTGTACACAGTGGTACCTTGGTTCCCAAACGCCTTGGTTCCCAAACGATGAAAACCCGGAGGTAAGTGTTCCAGTTTTCGAACGTTTTTTTGGAAGCCAAACGTCCGATGCGGCTGTCGGCTATTGTTTCCAGGGCACCTGCACCAATCAGAAGCTGCGCCTTGGTTTTCGAACATTTCGGAAGTCAAACAGACTTCCGGAACGGATTAAGTTTGGCGCTTTTGTTTTTGCTATTTATTTTGCGTTTTTTTGTTTTTGAGGTTTTTTCGGTTAATTTGTTTTTGTGACTGTGTGGAACCCAGTTCAGCTACTGATTGATTGATTGCGTGACTGGATAAAAGCCCCCCATTCAAACAACGACTATCATCAGTGAGGGTATGAAAAATTTTGAATTTTAATTTTCATCATATACAGTACTGTCTTATTTATTTTATAGTACAGTACATTGATTATTGCTTTCATTTTATGGATCAATGGTCTAGTTAGATAGTAAAATTCATGTGAAATTGTTGTTTTAGGGGTTGTTTTCAAAAGTCTGAAATGGATTGATCCGTTTTGCATTACTTTCTATGGGAAAGCGTGCATTGGTTTTGGAACGCTTTGGTTTTGGAACGGACTTCCAGAACTGATTAAGTTTGAGAACCAAGGTACCACTGTTCCCATTGCTAAATCACAGAGCCCTCCTGCACTCAGGTAAGCTTTTTATAGGCAACTGGTTGGCCACTGTGACCTAGTCCAGCACTCTAACCACTGCTCTGCGCTGTCCTTTTTTGTGAGACAGGGAAACCTCCCTCTATCCACTTTCTCGACAATGTACATCATTTCTGTACAGTTCCATCACATCTCCCTTTAATCATCCTTCCCCCTCAACACCTAAACTAAAAAGCCCCGACTTTTTAACTTCTTAACTTTTTAAGAATGGAGTGGAAGTAATTCGAAGATTATATGTCAAAATATTGTTCTAAAAACGACATGCTAAAAGGCTTAGAATAAAAAAATGTAAGCAATAACAAAACCAATAAAGAAAGAAGGAAAAATCAGAATTTAACAAAAATAATTTATTATAGAATGCAAGGGAAAAAGGTAGAAAGAGATATAAAGAAGTTGAATTGCTGTGGAGGAAAGTAGAGGGTGGGTGGTGGGATTTATAATTAAGTGTATAATTATGTAGCTGTTGTGATTTAGATATTATATTTTATGTGAGGGAATCATTGGGGATTTTGGTTATTATGTATATATGTTAAGTTTCAATAAAGACCTTTGAAAAAGGAATTAAAAAATTAAAAAGCCATTTCCATTCCCCGTTTCTGCGCCAATCCCAAATCAAAACCCAGCACCCCCGTAACAAACTTAAATCTGGAATTGGCAGCTTTTGTACTGAGGAAAAGACCCAATAGTTGCACTGGGCTATGGAGGGAGAGATAAAGAATTACCTGCTTTTGCTTCATATGCACAACGTTAACTCACCAAAATTCCCCATCGTCTTGGACAGTCATTCCCAGTTTCTCTCTCTCGCTATTGCTGACTTTCTGCCATTCCTCCGAGCTGCGGGAACGACAGGAGGATGCATGAGGGGAAACACAGAAATCATATTAATTGTGGTTACATGACACATCTATAAGCACCAGGCGAAAATGTTTCTTGTCATGATTAAATGGGCACAAGATGTAGGTCACAACATTATGATGGAAGATTGGGAAAAATTATGGAAAACTGATTTAAAATTTACAGATTGTTCCCTATTGAAGGAGAATTACATGAAGATGATGTACAGACGGTACACAACACCAGGGCAGTTAGGGAAAATGTACAAAACTAGTTCAAATATATGTTGGAAGTGTAAGGAAAAGGAGGGGACATTTTATCATATGTGGTGGGATTATAAAGTAATTAACAAAATTTTGGGAAATGATATACAACGAACTGAAGAAAATGTTCCATTTAACATTTGTTAAAAAACCTGAAGCATTTTTATGAGGTATTGTAGGGAAAGATCTGCCAAAAAAGCTGAAAAACATCTTCATGTATGCGACAACGGCCGCGAGAGTTTTAATAGCACAAGGATGGAAGACTGAAGAAACCCCAACTAAAGAATCATGGCAAGAAAAATTGATGGACTATGCAGAGCTGGCAAAACTGACATATAAGGACAAGGATAACTGTGACTTTAAAGATGAATGGGAACCCTTTACAAAGTATTTGAAGACGCAACAAAGCGAACTGGACTCCTTGGCTGGCTTTGAATAAAGATTCACAAACTTCTTATTGATAATAATCAGCTAAATAGTTTCAGGATCTATACAACTGTGTAACATGCAGAAAACAGCATTTTTAGAGAAATCAAAGACTGGAATTGAGGGTGGGGGTGGGTGGGTTCTGTGGGGGGTGGGAGGAAAAATGTGTGGGGGGGGAATAAGGATGATATGTTTCTGGATAATATGTTCTGTTTTAATTTTGAATAAAAAAGTTATTAAAAAGGAAAAGAAAAGAAAATGTTTCTCGTCAACCAGCCTTGTGGCTGATTAACATTCGTTGTCCTTTTTCCTTTTTAATTTTTTTTACCAACAACCAAAACACAAACAGTGAAAACAAACAGTGAAACCCGCCAGGCGGCTGATACATTGAGTATACATAATCAATAATAACATATTCAAATCAACCACATGTACAATTCTATATACCTTAACACTCCTCCCTCCACAAGGTTTATTTAACTTTTAACATTTTAATTGCCCCAAATTGTTCAAGCCTGCCCAAATAATTCAGTATCTTCTCAAACCAATCCTCCTCCTTCTCACTGACCTTAAACCCTTTCATTTTATGTATCTTCACAGTTAGATATTCTAAGATTATAATATTTTTCAATTTATCCCTCCGTTGGTTCACGCCTAGCTCTTCTGCATTTTTCCAATTACTCGCTGTAACCTGTCTGGCTGCAATTACCATCAATTTTAACATTCATTGTCCTTTTAAATGTGTTTTTTTTGGGGGGGGGAGTATGGGGTTTGGCTTGGTTTTTATTATGCATTTGGCCTTTTGTTTGGTGCATTTATGCAGTAAACTACCCTATGATCTTCGGATGAAGGGCAATACACAAATTTAAGTAAGTAACTAGTTATGGGTTGCTTTTCTCATACAGATTAGTGTATTTTTCTCTGTATAAGACTATATTTCCCCCCCAAATTTTTTAAGTTTAAAATTAGGGGTCGTCTTATACACGGAATGTTGCAATGAAATATATAAATAAATTTATTTCTTAATTTTGGCTGAAAAAAATAGGGGGTGTCTTATACATGGGGTCATCATACACGAAAAAATGTGGTATTTTTTATTGACTTTAAGGAAACAATGAGGTAGGGGAGGTAGGCATGGAACCAGCTTATATCTACAGTATTTATACAATCTGTCTGAGGAACAATGAAGTTGGCGTGGTCTGGGAGCCACCAACAGTCCACAATATGCTTCCAGGGGGTCAGTGAGACCACAATTAAAAATATAATATGATGGGAAACCCCCCCCTCTCTCTCTCTCTCTCTCTCTTTCTCCTTCCACACAGCAAAGTAAATACCAGGGAGGAAAAAAAACAGCCCAGCATCTTTTCTTCCCTGACAGGCTAGTCTTCTATGTGCGGGGAGGTCAGTTTTTATTTTATTTTTTGTACGGAAGGACAGCATGCTGCCATCTAAACTGGTTTGTCCCATCAGTAGGAACGTGGCCAAAGCCATTTAGACAAGGTGGCCCCCGTTTCCGGTGGACTTTCCCAGACATACTCACGTGTCACTCCAGGGTCCGTTCCATTCTTTCTCCCCCCAGGGGTTCCTCAGCCTGATCATATCGAGCTTTTCGGACTTGAAGTAGGACAGCAGGCCGTGGCCCAGGCGGACTCTCCTCACGTCCGTCACGGCGTAGGCGTGCCCTTTGACCAGGCCGCAGTCCAGCCGGGCTTCCATGTCAGCAGCGGAGGTGGCCTTGCCGAGGGGACACAGGAAGCACAAGAATTAAACAGTGCACTTAAAAACATCTGCCCAAGGGACACTGGCAAAGGGAGAGGGGAGGTGAAGGAGCCAGGATGAAAAAAGCTGTGAGCCTCCACTCAAGGCTCGGCAACGAATTATTTCCGCAAGCACCACAGTGCCGAGGCGTCAGAAAAAGTGAGTCAAAAGAACAGGGCCTGATCAGTGGTGGCACCAAAGCCAGAATGCCCTTCTTCAAAGGGGAATAAATAGCATTCTGCCTTCAGGTGCCTGTTAAAGACTTCACCAGTCCCCTGCCTCTAATATATTTAAAGGGTGTTTTTGGTTGGTGGTTTTTACATTTTTTTACTTTCGCAACACGCTACTACCAGACTTTTAGAAGACATCGGAAGGCAGCCCTGTTGAGGGAAGCTTTTAATGTTTAATAGGATATTGTATCCAATTAATATCAGGGTTGCGGATTCAAGTCCCAGGTTGGGTGGAATATTCCTGCATTGCAGGGGGTTGGACTAGATGACCGCCGTGGTCCCACCCAACTCTACAATTCCGTGGACACCAATCCTAATGGATTAAGCAAGGCTTACATCTTGCGCCAGATTCTTGGGAACCGCTTAAGATTCAGGAGACGGTCAGGCCCACCCTCCTGCGGTTACGCCAACAAGAACTGCCAGCTCCTTACTTTTATGGAACAGCTGATGAGACCGCCCCGGTTGTAGACCTTCAACACCCGCTCAAAGAGGACGTTGCGTTTGGCTTCGTCGTTCGCATAGCCGCCTTCCAGCAGGTCGATGGGTTCGGAGACGCCGCCAGTGAAGTCCACCAAAGCGTCAGCCGTGTTGCCTCCGTCTAGGGCCTCGTAGCATCCCGAGAGTCTACGCAGTGGGGAAGAGGAGCACAATGGTGACTGGGAGTGGCCGTCGGGACCACATAACACCGGTTCTGAGAAATTTGCATTGGCTCCCAGTACGTTTCTGAGCACAATTCAAAGTGTTGGTGCTGACCTTTAAAGCCCTCTGAACAGCCTTGGCCCAGTAGACCTGAAGGAGCATCTCCACCCCCATCAATCAGCCCAGACACTGTCTGTTGGCTGTTTGTTGGCTGACTGCCCAGGGCTGCCGCTGCCTGAGCCATTCACAGAGCGAGTGGGGACTACGCAGATACACATCAGCACACAAACACACGCACTACAATCTTCATTATGCACTGCTCAGACACTGCACCCTTCCACACTGCTGTAGATAAGGTACATTTCCAAGCACAATTCAGAGCGTTGGTGCTGACCTTTCAAGCCCTAAATGGCCTCAGCTTAGTAGACCTGAAGGAGCGTCTCCACCCCCATCGTTCTGCCCGGACACTGAAGTCCAGCTCTGAGGGCCTTCTGGCGGTTCCCTCCCTGCGAGAAGTGAGGTTGCAGGGAACCAGGCAGAGGGCCTTCTCGGTAGTGGCGCCTGCCCTGTGGAACGCCCTCCCAGCAGATGTCAAGGCAATAAACAACTATTTTCTTTTAAAAGACAACTGAAGGCAGCCCTCTTTAGGGAAGTTTTTAATGTCTAATGCTGTATTGTTTTTAATATTCAGTTGGAAGCCACCCAGAGTGGCTGGGGAAACCCAGCCAGATGTGCGGGGTATAAATAATAAATTATTATTATTATATATAAGAACACGGGGCGCAACAAAGATTATGCCCTCCTGTTTGTGGAGTGGCATGGCGTAACCAGGGGTCAGCAAACCTTTTCAGCAGGGGGCCGGTCCACTGTCCCTCAGACCTTGTGGGGGGGCCGGACTATATTTTGGAAAAAAATATATGAAGGAATTCCTATGCCCCAGAAATAACCCAGAGATGCGTTTTAAATAAAAGGACACATTCTACTCATGTAAAAACACCAGGCACGCCCACAAATAACCCAGAGATGCATTTTAAATAAAAGGACACATTCTATTCATGTAAAAACACGCTGCTTCCCAGACCGTCGGCGGGCCGGATTGAGAAGGCAATTGGGCCGCATCTGGCACCCGGGCCTTAGTTTGCTTACCCATGGCGTAAGCTCAAGACTATGCCACATAAAGTTAAAAGTTAAAGGACCCCTGGATGGTTAAGTCCAGTCAAAGGCGACTACGGGGTTGCGGCGCTCAACTCGCTTTCAGGCCGAGGGAGCTGGCGTTTGTCCACAGACAGCTTTCCGGATCATGTGGCCAGCAGGACTAAACCGCTTCTGGTGCAACGGGACACCGTGACAGAAGCCAGAGCGCACAGAAACGCAGTTTACCTTCCCGCCGCACTGGTACCTATTTATCTACTTGCACTGGTGTACTTTCAAACTGCTAGGTTGGCAGGCGCTGGGACCGAGCAAAGGGAGCTCACTCCATCACGGGGATTCGAACTGCCGACCTTCTGATCAGCAAGCCCAAGAGGCTCACCCTCTAATAGCAAATGCAGCTGGTGCGTGCAAATGCTTAGAAGCAAGAGGCGTTGCAAGTTCAGCAGCGGAGATCGTTCTGCACGTAACTTTAGGGTTAATTCTGTTCTCAGGGAACCTAGAGGGAGGCAATGGCGATGCTTAGAAAGCCAGGAGAGCAGCGCTCGGATTGGCTGCATCGTTCTGAGGGAGGTTTTCCTCTGTACGTCTGACTGAATGTCTTCCTGGCTACGAAAGACAAAAACCTCTGTTTCTCCTCAAATTATACTGTATATTGATTTGTTCAGTTTCCTCAGTCAAGCGTTATCCTTAGGATTTATTTTCTTTTTGTGTCATTGAAGTGACTTTGTTAACAAGAGGGAAATATGAGATTCGCATCCTTTTAATTTTTGTCAACGGTGTATCCAGGGTGACACACTGTCAGGGCATTATGGTCTGGATGCCAAGACAGGAATTGAGGTATTACAGAGAAACATGATGGCTGCTGGCTGCTGGCCAGGTCATCCAGAAAAGAAATAGCCAAATGACCTTTTTTAAAGAAAAAATGGCTGGTGGGGCAGTGTGAGGGGGAGGGAAAGATATTAATGCCAATTTCCCAATAAGCCCCTTGCCCCTCAAAATAGGGAGAATGCTGCCTGGTTTTCACAACCAGAGGAACACAACAGGTAGCTGCCGAGTCAGACCTCCGGTCCATCTAACTCAGTGCTGCCTACACTGACTGGCAGCAGCCCCCCGGGACTTCAGGTAGGAGTCATTTCCCTAGCCGGAAAGCTTTGTGATGGGCGATTGGGGATTTCAACCCTGGTCTCCCAGGCTGTAGCCCAGCTACTCTAACCACTAGTCCACGCTGCCGCACTCACTTAGCGTAGGCCTTTTCCACCAGCGCGCACCACAGCTCGTTCTTGGAGTTGGAGTGGCAGTAGATGAGCTGGTTGTGCAGCGTGGGCAGGCGGTCGTCAATCACCACGTCCACCCAGTCGCCAAACCGCCAGAACTGGAAGTGGAAGATGCCGGCATAGTTCTCCGGCTTCTCAGCTGACCACTCTTGCTCCTTCCAGTCTGGGATGACCTGCGTCGGGGAGAAGGAAAGAGACATGTTAGGTACCTACGCCGTTGGGCAGAGTTTGCCATCATTTTTTAAAGAATTAAAGTGTATTACATCACTAGAGTGGGGTCAGTTTAACTGAAGGAGCGTCTCCACCCCCATCATTCTGCCTGGACACTGAGGTCCAGTGCCGAGGGCCTTCTGGCAGTTCCCTCGCTGTGGGAAGCCAAGTTACAGGCAACCAGGCAGAGGGCCTTCTCGGTAGTGGCGCCCGCCCTATGGAACGCCCTCCTGCCGGATGTCAAAGAGAAAAACAACTACCAGACTTTTAGAAAACATCTGAAGGCAGCCCTGTTTAGGGAAGCTTTTAATGTTTGATGTACTATTATATTGTAATATTTTGTTGGAAGCTGCCCAGAGTGGCTGGGGAAACCCAGCCAGATGGGCGGGGTATAAATAACAAATTATTATTATTATTATTATTATTATTATTAGTAGTAGTAGTAGTAGTAGTAAAGGTAAAGGTACCCCTGACCATTAGGTCCAGTCGTGACTGACTCTGGGGTTGCGATGCTCATCTCACATTACTGGCCGAGGGAGCCGGCGTACAGCTTCCGGGTCATGTGGCCAGCATGACTAAGTCACTTCTGGCAAACCAGAACAGTGCACGGAAACGCTTTTTACCTTCCTGCCGGAGCGGAACCTATTTATCTACTTGCACTTTGATGTGCTTTCGAATTGCTAGGTTGGCAGGAGCAGGGACCGAGCAACAGGAGCTCACCCCGTCGCGGGGATTCGAACTGCCAACCTTCTGATTGGCAAGTCCTAGGCTCTGTGGTTTAACCCACAGTGCCACCCGCTTTCCTCTGTAGTAGTAGTTGTTCATTTATTGCATTAATATTTCGCCTTCTTGCATCATAACCAGACACTGGAGAGACCTGTCAGGAGTAAGCATGGACCAATGCTTAAACAATAAACTGAAACTGACATGGGGACAAACAGAAGAAGACACCTTCACCTTCACCCCGGTATGGCTCCCCTTTATCAGGATAACCTGATCCAAAACACCCACCCACCCCACTCACACACGAAAACGAAGACCACCACAGCCAACCACAAATGAACAACCACACCCTAGGCCAACCCCAACCTCTCTCACCACCAAAGAAACACAAGCGAACAGCAAAGAACCTGCACAAGCAACGCTGACACCAAACCCTACATACATTAAGCAAAATAGAAACTTCGCCACCCGACCCCCCCCACCTTCTCCGCCCCCCCCACCTCCTTCCCCCTTTTCTTCCTAATGTCTAAACAAATGAAACTGATTTGTAAAAATGTTACATGGGGGAAAAACACGAGAGAGAGACATTGCACACTTTTGTAAATCAACAAAATCTTTAATAATAATAAAAAATATGTGGTAAAAAAAAATCCGCCTTCTTCTCCGAAGAGCTCGAGGTGGCAGATGTGGTTCTTCCTCCTCCTCACTTAATCCCCCGCAACAACAACCCTTCGAGGTAGGATAGGCTGAGAGGCAGTGTGACTGGCGCATGGTGTCTGAGTGGAGATTTGAACCCCGGCCTCCCAGGTCCTAATCCAACCCTCTAATCCAGGCATAGGCAAACTCGGCCCTCCAGATGTTTTGGGACTACAACTCCCATCATCCATAGCTAACAGGACCAGCGGTCAGGGACGATGGGAGTTGTAGTCCCAAAACATCTGGAGGGTTGAGTTTGCCTAGGCCTGCTCTAACCACTACACCACATGGGCTCCCTAAGTTACAAGGGCAAGAGGGAATTCTATTAGTATGCTGCGGCTTCCAGAAAAATCCCATTAATGGGAGCTGGAACCTTGCACACAGAAGGCGGTTAATATAGAATGTGTGAGGGAATGTGGAAAATTTTGGAATATTTATCACATAAATTTACTAATTCTGTTTTTCAGATTAAAATTTTACAATCACATATCCAACTTACAACATTAAAAACAAGATTCTGAAGAATCGCCTGGACTTCCATCCTCCCCTTTGTGGGTGCTATTATTAATTATTCCCTCCTGCATCTTTTATAACAATCCAAATCTTTTACCTCTCCATTGTGTCCAAAATTCACCATTAAGGGGGTATAGCTCGGTGGGAGAGCATTTGACTGCAAAATTCACCATTAAACTACAAGTGTTATTCCAATCCTACTAACGATTTTAACTGTTTACAATGGTTTTTAAGATAAGTTATAAAATTTTCCCCATTCCTTATTAAAATGCTGGTCTTCCTGAGTTCTGATTCTTCCGGCCATTTTAGCCATTTTGGCATAATCCATCAACTTGATCTGCCTGCCAACCTAGTAGTTCGAAAGCACCCCCGGGTGCAAGTAGATAAATAGGGACCGCTTACTAGCGGGAAGGTAAACAGCGTTTCCGTGTGCGGCTCTGGCTCACCAGAGCAGTGATGTCACGCTGGCCACTTGACCCGGAAGTGTCTCCGGACAGCGCTGGCCCCCAGCCTCTTGAGTGAGATGGGCGCACAACCCTAGAGTCTGTCAAGACTGGCCCGTACGGGCAGGGGTACCTTTACCTTTACCTTATCAACTTGATCTGCCATTCTTCTCTGGATAGGGACTTTATCTTTATTCCAATGTGCAATATTTAAGGGAGCATTCTTCCTTGCCCAGTAGCCTGCGAGCAAATCGTCTTCTACGTTAATCCTATCGATCGATTGCCAGTGTTTCTTTCACATGCTGTACTTACCTTCTGCCTGCAGGTGGCTCCAGAAAGCCCCATTTGGAGGCTGCCTGGCAAAGGACACAATTCTTAGGGAACATCTTAAAAACAATGGGGAACCGTGATAACATGAGTGCTCCTTCTCAGCATACTCCATTCCATCCCCCACCATCAGCCGGCATTCTGTAGACATTGAACACACCAAGCCTTTACTGTTTTTCCTAAAGATTTGTGTTTCTTTGTTCCTGCAAATATTGGGATTTGCTGATGCTGCTATAGAAGCATTGATATTCAATGATACGATATGATAATCTTTATTGTCATTGTCCCATGCAGAACAACGAAATTGAAAAAATCTACATCAGACATTCAAAAACCAACAAGCCTGATATCCCAGCTATCCCAACCTGGTGAGCCCCTAAAAACTCTGATACCCCATAATTAAATACAATATACTGCCATAGAGACTACCTTACACTGCGTTTAAAACCAAAATCGCATTTGGATAGAAACTGTTTCTCAGGCGGCTAGTCCTAGTTTTAATGACCCTGTACCCTGAATGTCAGAAATAAAAGGGGGGGGAGTATATCTGTTTCTAAGAAGTATTTGGCTTCTCTTTAATAATAATAATAATAATAATAATAATAATAATAATAATAATAATAATAATTTATTTATACCCCACCCATCTGGCTGGCTTTCCCTAGCCACTCTGGGCAGCTTCCAACTGAATATTAAAAACAATACAGCATCAGACGTTAAAAACTTCCCTTCAACTGTCTTTTAAAAGTTGTTGTTTATTAAATAGTTGTTTATTGCCTTGACATCTGGGCTGGCGCCACTACCGAGAAGGCCCTCTGCCTGGTTCCCTGTAACTTCACTTCTCACAGGGAGGGAACCGCCAGAAGGCCCTCAGCGCTGGACCTCAGTGTCCGGGCTGGATGATGGGGGCGGAGACACTCCTTCAGGTACACAGGACTGAGGCTGTTTAGGGCTTTCAAGGTCAACACCAACACTTTGAATTGTGCCCGGAAACGTACTGGAAGCCAATGTACCGTAATTTTCGCTCCATAACACGCAGTTTTTTCCTCCTAGAAAGTAAGGGGAAATGTCTGTGCGTGTTATGGAGCGAATGCCTACGGATGGCAGGGGAATCTGCTGCAGTTGTGAGCAGTCCGTGGTTCGCTTTGAAACAGCAAAGCGGGTGTAAGCGGCTCCTGTCTGGTTGGCTGCTTTAAAACAACCCCGTGTTCTATGTCCCTCTCTCCTACCCACTGAGCTGCTAAGTAGCAGCAAAGCTTTTCAGCCAGCTGAGCCAGGGAGGAGGGAGAGAAGCAGAGCGGGGTTTGCTCTCTATCCCTGCCTGCAGTTTTTTGCTGTCCGATTTTGGATGAGCCACTGTAGGGGCTGTGTGTGTGTGTGCTTGAGCTATCCTTCTCCTCCTCCTGCTTCCCGTTCACTCTCCCAGTGCCCCTGCGCTCTCCTGCGACTTTAGGATTGATACTGTGTGTGTGTGTGTGTGTGTGATCCTTCTCCTTCTCTTGCTTCCCACTCCCAGCGCCCCTGCGCTCTCCTGCGACTTTAGGATTGATTCTCTCTCTCTCTCTCTCTCTCTCTCTCTCTCTCTGTGTGTGTGTGTGTGTGTGGCATTGTTCTCCTTCTCTTGCTTCCTGTTCACTCCCCCAGCGCCCCTGCGAGTTCCAGCACCCCTGTGACTTTAGGATTGATATTCTGTGTGTCTGTGTGTGAGAGAGGGATTGTTCACTTTCTCTTGCTTCCCGTTCACTCCCCCAGCGCCCCTGCGACTTCCAGCGCCCCTGCAACTTTAGGATTGATTCTCTCTCTCTCTCTCTCTCTCTCTGTGTGTGTGTGTGTGTGTGGCATTGTTCTCCTTCTCTTGCTTCCCGTTCACTTCCCCAGCGCCCCTGCGACTTCCAGCACCCCTGTGACTTTAGGATTGATATTCTGTGTGTCTGTGTGTGTGAGAGGGATTGTTCACTTTCTCTTGCTTCCCGTTCACTCCCCCAGCGCCCCTGCGACTTCCAGCGCCCTTGCAACTTTAGGATTGATACTCTCTCTCTCTGTGTGTGTGTGTATGTGTGTGTGTGAGAGAGAGAGGCATTGTTCTCCTTCTCTTGCTTCCTGTTCACTCCCCCAGTGCCCCTGCGACTTTAGGGTGACTTTAGCATGGATCCACATGGATCCTCAGGATTTTTGCATTGGGCTACCCCAAACTCACCGTCAGATCACATGTCTGTGGCCACAGCATGAACCACAAAAATCATACATCCACTGTTTCATTT